TTTTTTTTTTTTTTTGAACGAACGAAAATTACGAAAGAAAAATTAAAAGAGAATGGGAAAGAAAAGACACACGATCTAGTCTTTCAATGTAAGCACCAATGATGAAGACCGTGTGTCCCGCCTGTCGACAAGACACTCCCGCGCCTTAAATCGCTTGATAGGTGTTAGGAAGTCGCACACTCGTAGCCTTTCTAACGATTATAATTGCAATAGAAATCAAGAAGAAAACTAGAGCAAAGAGATTGAACAAAAGTTCAGATTTTTGTATTGATTTCTGAATGAATAAATTAACAAGAGGAAGAGCCTTTATATAGGCATCAACTAGATCTAGTCCTAATATAACTATAACTCTAATAAAGCAATAAAATATTAGGAGTCCTGAACAAACTAGAAAACAAGGAAATAAATATCTAGAATATCTCTTGCTCGCGATTCAAGCCGCCATTGCGCGCGTGCTGCCCTCGCGCGCCCGCCTCGCCTACTCCTTGCGTGGTTAGGCCTGCTCGCGCGTGAACCTCCTCGTCCGTACCCGCGCTATTGCACCCTTGGCCGAGATTCTCGCGCGCGTCATCGTCCGCGCGCGCATGCCCATTAATGAGTTGGGCCTGGGCAACCTGTCGGCTTAACCTCCGTCGTGCATGATAAGCGCGGCTCGCAGCATTCTTTAATCTCCTTGCTGTGTTCTCATCATTGCGCGCTATCGCGCGTCTCGCGTCCCAACCGACCTGGCCACTATCGCGCATGCCTCAAACGTCCTGCACCGTACGCGCCCGATTACACCTAACGCCCGCGCATCACTACCCGATGCGCGTATCTCGCCCATTCGCCCACCGGCCATGCCCGTCCATCCTTCGTGTCCTCCGGGCTCGATCACCACTTCCGCAACACGCATCCCAGCCGCACCCAGCCGCACCCAGCCGTGCGCGACCGTGCCAACGAGCAGCCCGGGTGATGCGGACACGGCGAGAAGACTCAAGAATGCAGCAAGTCGCGCGTGGCATGCGCGAAGGAGGCTAAGTCGTCGTGCTGGAGAGGCGCGATACGCAGATGGGCAAGCGCGCGCGGAAGATGACGCGCTCAATATTATCGGGGCCGAGCGTGGGGCTGAACGCGCAGGCGACGGGGTGCACGCACGAACTTGCCTAGGCGCGCGAGCATTAGGCGAGCTGCTGGACGCGTGCGCGGGAGTATTGATGCCTTTTGGTTTGTGCAATGCGCCGTCGACATTTCAGTTTGCGATGAATTCAATCTTCAAGGAGTACCTTCGTAAGTTTGTATTAGTCTTCTTTGATGACATTTTGGTGTACTCGAAAACATGGGCAGATCATCTCGAGCACTTGCGAATTGTTTTGGGGAATTTGGAGGCCGACTCATTCTACATCAAACCGTCCAAGTGCTCGTTTGCTCAAGAAGTGGTCGAGTACCTCGGGCACTTTATTTCTCATGGTGGCGTTAAGATGGATCCAAGTAAAATCGAGGCGATGGTGGGATGGCCGAAACCCACGAGCTTGACGCAGTTGCGAGGGTTCCTTGGTCTCACGGGCTATTATCGAAAATTCGTGAAGGACTATGGGACCATCGCAAAGCCACTTATGGAGATGACGAAGAAGGGAGCATTCAAGTGGACGGAGGCGAGCGAAAAGGCTTTTGAGGAACTAAAGAAGGCCATGACGACCACACCCGTGCTCGCGATGCCGAGGTTTGATGTGTTGTTCGAGATTCACTCGGATGCCAGCGACATTAGAATCGGAGCGGTTCTAGTACAGGAAGGACGACCCTTGGCTTATCTCAGCAAGGCTCTCGGGCCGGCGCGCTTAGGGTTGTCCGCATACGTAAAAGAGATGCTAGCCGTGGTCGAGGCCGTGCGCGTATGAAGGCCGTACTTGCTTGGGCGACGCTTTCGAATTGTCACGGACCAGCAGCCGCTCAAGCACTTGCTCGAGCAAAGGATCGTGACGCCCGAGCAGCAGAAGTTCGTATCCAAATTGATGGGGTTCGACTTCGAGATAGTGTATCGGCCCGGTCGCCAGAACACTGTGGCCGACGCATTGTCTCGCCGGGAAGACGTGGCCGAGCTCGACGCAGTGACGGGGCCGACGTGGGCCGTTTGGACAGAGCTTCGGAAGGCGCAAGACGAGGATGCGCATTGTCAAGACGTGGTCGAGAAACTGAAGAAGGGACGCGACAAGGACGAGGACCATGACATGCACGATGGCTTGCTCCTTTATCATGGGCGAGTCGTCGTGCCCGAGGCGGGATCGTTGCGCGAGGACATCATTCGGCACTTCTACGACTCGAAGTTTGGAGGACATTCGGGGGTGTTCTGGACATGGATGAGGATTGCGAGCACTTTTTATTGGTCGGGACTGATGGGCGATGTGCGCGACTACGTTGGGTGTGCGATGAGTGCCAGCGCCCTAAGGCGGACGCGCGTCGACCGGGCGGACTGCTTCAACCATTGCCGGTTCCCGCGCGTATTTGGGAGGACATCACCATGGATTTTATCGAAGGTTTGCCACTCTCGAATGGGTTCAATGGAGTCATGGTGGTAGTCGACCGCCTTACCAAGTATGCGCATTTCATTCCACTTACTCATCCATACACGGCTAAGTCTATAGCAAAATTGTTTGTTAAATATGTGATGAAGTTGCATGGGGTACCACGGTCGATTGTGTCCGACCGGGATCGGATATTTATGAGTAGTTTCTGGTCGGAGCTCTTTAAATTACAGGGAACCGAGCTAAACATGAGCTCGTCTTATCATCCACAAACCGACGGACAGACGGAGGTGACCAATCGCACACTCGAGCAGTACCTTAGGTGCTATGTGCATCATTTTCCAAAGCGATAGGAGGATTATTTACCTTGGGCCGAGTATTGGTATAACACCACTTACCATAGCTCGACTAAGGCGACACCGTTCGAGTTGGTGTACGGGCGCAAACCGCCGACGATCGTGAGTTACTCGATGGGGAGCGCCGTGAACGATGAGGTCGATCGAGAGTTGGTCGAGCGTGACTTGATGTTGCGCGAGCTAAAGCGGATGTTGGAGGGCTCGATCAATAGGATGAAGGTGTACCATGATGGCAAGCGGCGCGACGTAGAGTTTGAGCCCGGGGATTGGGTATACTTGAAGTTGAGGCCGTTTCGGCACAGGACGGCTGCGCAAAGGGCCGCGACCAAACTCGGAGTTCGATATTACGGGCCTTATAAAATTTTGGCCAAGGTTGGGAAGGTTGCTTATCGACTTGAGTTGCCGGACGATTCCCATATCCATCCGGTCATACACGTCTCACAACGCAAGCAACGACTCGGTGAGACGCATACGACAAAGGATCGACTACCCGCGGTCGCGCCGGACGGGCAGGTTATGGTGCGGCCAAGCCGCGCGATGGAGTACCGACAAGTCAAAAAGGCTGGAAAATATTTTTGGGAGGTGCTCGTCGAATGGGAGGACTTACCGAGTGAGGAAGCGACATGGCAAAGTTGGGACGAAATGCGAGAACTGTTCCCCGATTTTTTCCTTGAGGACAAAGAAGCACTTGAAGGGGACGGGAATGATGCGGACACGGCGAGAAGACTCAAGAATGCAGCAAGTCGCGCGTGGCATGCGCGAAGGAGGCTAAGTCGTCGTGCCGGAGAGGCGCGATACGCGGATGGGCAAGCGCGCGCGGAAGATGACGCGCTCGATATTATCGGGGCCGAGCGCGGGGCTGAATGCACAGGCGACGGGGTGCACGCGCGAACTTGCCTAGGCGCACGAGGATTAGGCGAGCTGCTGGACGCGTGCGCGGGAATGGAAGATGAAGCCCTAGTCCTTGGGCAATTAGGCAACCCGGACGCGTGCAATGGCGGCTTGAGTCGCAAGCAAGAGATATTCTAGATATTTATTTCCTTGTTTTCTAGTTTGTTTAGGACACTTAATATTTTATTGCTTTATTAGAGTTATGGTTATATTAGGACTAGATCTTGTTGATGC